CAGGTAGCAGCCTCTGCAACTGCCCGCCCTGCAGCTGGTTCTTGCACAGGGTGCAAGAGCCATCTGGGTGTTGCCAGGTGCTGCTGTCCACCAGGTAGGCTCCCTTCCTTTCCATCATGGTCACATCAATGCCCTCACCAACGAGGCTGTGACCAGGCACAAAGGCCGTGTGCTTCTTGCATTCATTGGCCATGTACGTTTGACACTGGGAGGAAGCCCCAGGGAAGATGAAGAGGATGAGAGGGAGAAAGGCACCAAACCTGGGCATTGCTGAAATGATGAATTTCCCCACCCAGAAGGGGCCGCCACCTTCAAACCCCCCTAGAGGGAGAGGGAGAGAGAGGTGCAGATTTAACGGCAATGCAGTGGCAGGCAGTTCCATAGGTTAACATGTTTGTAGAAACACCTACCAGCCATGACATCATCCTTGCTCTATAGCAGACCTACGCAAGCTCTGGTCTCTAGGGATGCTGGGGGTTTTATGGAGATGATGCGATGCCTTATTTGCATGTTTGCCTCTAGACAACCTCATATGCAGCATTCCCCTCCCCTCTGTTTTCCAGGTGTTGCAATACCAGCACTAACCATAAGGGGGCGGTACAGTTTTACATGGCCAATGAGAGCCTGCAATAGAATGGGTGACTGCAATTCCCCACTGGGCCACTAGAGGGAAGTGCCCTAGAATCCAAGGCCTGTAATTGGTCAGTGGCTTGCAAGAGCTTGGCCCCCTGGTGGTGAGGGGGAGTTTGGGTCATGAGGGGCTGTAGAACCTCTGGGGCCCCCTAGTGGCCATGGTGATGTTTAGTCGCTGCTGGAGGGTCGTTTTCTTGGGGTTCTCATGGTCGGCATCAGCCCCAACATCTGGAGCTGCCGCCTTCATACTTTTGCCCTGGGTCAGGCCCATGGGCAGGACACTTCCTACCTCCCCAGAGCAGCCCCATGGGCCCTCCCAGTTTCATTTCCTGTCCCCTGGCTTCTGCCCCTGAAGCTCTGACCTAGTCACACCTCGCTCGGCTTCCTCCCCTCACTGACCACGGGGCCGCCATGGGAAAGGCAGATTTCAAATGGGTTCCACTGAGGTTGGAAAATGTATCGCAGTGGAGGCTCGGGGCAGGAAGGGGGTAGCAGCTCAGCATTCTGTGATGGCAGCCGGCTTGGGGCGGAGGCGACAGGAAACGTCTGAACTCAGCTCGGCAGCAGCAGGCAGGAAAATCAAACCTGAATATTGATGGCCTGGCTCTGTCGGTGCCCCTCTATCATGACTTTCAGTCGCCAGTTTCTCCAGCCCTGGGGTTCCCTCCCCCACTGTGCCAATGCCCCTTTATCTTGACCCACAGCCCCCTGCCGGCCCAGCCTTGGGTTCTCTCTGCCTCCTCCCCCCACTATGCTAGTGCCCTAAATCCTCACTTGCAGCCCCCTGTTTGCCCAGCCATGGGGTTCCTGCCCCTCACAAACTCTGCTGGTGCCCCCACTCTCAATCTGTTGCCCACCTGCTGTTTGCCAGCAAAAAAAACAAACAGAACGACATTGCCAGCTGCCCCTGAGATGAAATAGAGCAACTGAGTCCCCTGGCTATCAACAGCAGAGCAAGTTGGTCTAGTGGCTAGAGCATGAGCCTGAGAGTCAGGACTGCTGGGGTCTGTTGTTGCTCTGGCAGAGGAACGGAGTCTAGTGCTGGGAGTCAGGATTCCTGGGTTACTGTTCTGGGAGGAGTGTGGGGATTAGCGGCTTACAGAGGGAGAATTGGGGACCACAGTTTTGGCTGCAATGTGTGTGAGATTAGGGTCCCCGCTCTCAGCCACAGACTGAGCTGTGACCTTTGCAATAGAGTCCCCAACTGTGGGCAGGCTCTGAATAGATGCACCATTTCAGATTTTTTTTTTTGAGGGGGGGAGAGAAGCAAGACCTATGAATTCCCTGGAGGGGGAGGGGAAGAGAGTGAGAGCAGGGGGGGGCCAGACTGAAGTCAGCAGCTTCAGAAGCTTTACTAAGCTTGCTGAGTACCAGCCACACAGCAACCTGGGGGAGACCAAACCTATTCGCTCCCCTCCCCCACATATATCACCTCTTCCCAAGGCTACTAAGGTGTCACAAAACCTATTTTTCTTGCAGACCACTGAGCAGTTAGCGGACAGAAGCCCTGTATCTAATTCCCATATAAAAGAAAGAAACTAAATAACGATTAGACCTAGTCCTCTCTAACGTATTCTGACATCTTGTGGCAAGTCCCTGAAGAGACATTAGGTAGCTTTAACTTTTTAATGTCTGTTCTTACTCTGTTACTAACTCTGGAGAGACAGAGACCCCGTCAGGCCTCCTGGGTTCTCTCTCCGCTCTGGGAGGGCAGTGGGGTCTCGTGGGTCACAGCGAGAGGGCAGATACATTTCAGTTCTATGTAAAAACACCGAATGTCCATACTGGGTCAGACCCATGGTCTTTCTAGCCCTGTACCCTGTCTGTCAATAGCAACTCAATGCCCGGTGCTTCAGAAGGAATAAACAGAGCAGGCAAACATCATGATGCATCCCGTCACCCATTCCCAGCGTCTGCCAAACAGAAGCAAGGGACACCATCCCTCCCCATTCTGGCTAGTAGCCACTAATGGACTTACCCTCCTGGAATATATTTCGTTCTTATGGGAAACATGTTATAGTTGGGGCCTTTCCACCAGATCCTGGCAAAGAGTTCCAGAATCCGACAGTGAAAAAATAATGTATTTTGTGGGTTTTAAAACTGCTCCCTGTACATTGAATTGGTCAGCGTCTTATGGTGTTAGTGAAGGAACGAATAACATTTCCGGGTTCTATTTTCCCCACACATTTCACGATTCTCTAGATCTCTACCATATCCCCCCACCCTTTAGTCATTTCTTCTGCAAGCTGAAAAGCCCCAGTCTTGTTAATTCCTTCTCATATGGAAGCTGTTTCTTGCCCCCAATGATTTCTGTTCCCCTTTCTGTACCTTTTCCAAATGCAGTGTATCCTTTTCTAGATGGGGTGACCAGACCTGCATTCAGTATTCAAGATGTGGGCGTAAAATGACGTTTTCCTTCCTATGATCTCTTCCTTCCCTAATAATTCCCAGTATTCTGTTTGCTTCTTAGACGGCGGCTGCACACCGAGCAGACGTTGTCAGGGAACGATCCACAAGGATTCCAAGATCTCTTTCTTGAATGGTATCGGTTATTTTGTATCCATTGTTAAGATTATACTTTGCCCTGTGCATTACTTTGCACTTGTCAACACTGAATTCCCCCTGCCCTTGTGTTGCCCAGTCACCCCGTTTGGGGAGATCCCTTTGCAACTCTTTGCAGTCAGCTCTGGACTTCGCTGTTTTGAGTAGTTGTGCAGTATCTGCACATTCTGCCACCTCTCTGTTTACCCCCCTTTTTCAAGCAGATTTACACCTTTAACAGCCAAATGCAAATCCCAACAGCACCTCATCTCTTTTAAGTGGAATTCCCCTCTCCTGCCTCTGGCAGTGTTTTCATAATGAGCTAAGGATCCGTCAATGACTGGAATGCCCAGCCTTTTCTATCCTTAATCACCTGCCTCCCTGCTCCAAAGGCGAAGCTGCAAGCAGCTCAAATTCTGTTGCATTTAAGAGCTGCCTCTAGAGCCAGGGCATGCAGCTTCAAGGAGACCTCAAGTATGGAATCCAGGGGTTCAAACTGCAGAGGGAATTACTGAAGCTCTCCCAGATGGCTCCCTTGGGTCTGAGCAGAGCTCAGTGTGATGGGGTCCCCAGTCACATCCAGGGTCTGAGTCGTGCCTGGCACTACATGGTCCTCAATGTCAGCCAGGGTCCTAGCAGTGCCTGGCACGATGGGGTCCCCGATCTCAGCTGGGGTTCCCTGTCTTGGCCGGAGTCTGAGCAGACCCACCGATCACTCACCTGCCTCCACAGCTGAGTTGAGCTCTATTTCGGCCTCACGTCGGCCTGTCGGCAGCTAGGACTGGGCTGTGTCATTGCTGGGAGAGATGCACTTTGTAGGTGAATTCAGTCACCACCAAAAGTCTCATGACTTCTTCTCATTGCTTCAGTTGTGGTAAGTGGGAAACACCCACAGGCAGCTTTGAAGTGGCCTCTCAGGTCCATCAAACAAAACATACTGAAACTGGGTTGGGCTGAACCCGTGTCAATGTCTCATGAAGAAGAAACAATCAGTGAATTGAGGCACAGGGCCCACCAGAAAGACTCTTTTCTGGCCAACTTGGTCACGTCAATGCCCTCAGCTGTCAGTTTGTGCCTGGGCATGAAGGCAGTATGCTTCTTGTACTCTTCCTTCGTGCACAACTGGCATTGAGTTGAGACCCTGGGGGTGGGAGGAGAGAAGCAGCAGGCTCTGGGCATGGCTGGGAGGGGATGTTAGTCTCTGAACCACCCTGTAGGGAGAAACACAGAGAGTTCCAGCATTAACAGCAATCATGTAGCAGGGAGTTCCACAGGTTAACATGCTGTTAACGTTAATACTGCACTGTGCCCCCCAAAGCAAGGCCCAAATTCCAGTTGTAGTAAGTTGAGGGTCAGTAATATGGAGTCAGCAGGCCTAAATAGAGGCCTGTAACATGAAAACAGCAACAGGCCTTGCAATCTAGTGAGCAAGACTTTGGTTCAGTAACACAGGAGCCAAGAAAAAGGCCTTACTGATAACTCATCTGTTTCCCCTTTACCTGGAGAACTCCCTCTCAAAACTTCCTGTTAGCACTCACCTGTTCGCAAGCTCCTTGCTTGTGTAAGGGGACTGTTACCCCCTTACTAAAACTCTGTGGGAGTTTTTGGTTTACCAGCTTCAGAAGGGGAAGGGTTCATGAGACTGACAGACCCCAGAGACAATGGAAAGCAGTCAACACTCCAGCTCAGCCTGACTGACAGGTTGTAAGTGGGGGTTGTTCTGGCTCTCTCTCTGAGCAAACAGGGAGCTGAAAGAGCAGAGCGAGCTGTGTGCAGGAGAGGTCCTGCAAAGACAGAGATCTGAAAGAGGAGTACAAGAAGAAGTCCTGCAGCGACAGAACCAGACACAGACAGGCCAAGCAGTGCAGACCCTGTGTTGAGCAGCAGACTGGCAGTGCTCAGAAAGCCACAAGGAACAGAGAAGCAACACAAGGAGCTGGAACTGGCCAAGCAGCACAGCCTGCAGCTGGATGTGGTGAGCTACTGGGACCTGCAAAGTGTGGGGAAAGGCTCTGGACTGGGAGAGGGGTCTGGCCACTTAGAGACTGAGGCTGTGTGGTCACTGCCAGTGCAAGCGTGTCCAGCCTGCAGCCCCTTGCAGCACATCCAGGGCTTCTAAGGAAGAGACTGTGAACTGTCCTTACACTCTGCAGACTGCTGTTTTGATGTCCCTGTGCTACAGAGCAGGGCTGTGTGTTCTCATTTAACCATTCTCATTTTGTCTTATTCTTTTCTCTTTAATCAGTTGTTGTTTAATAAATTGTATTTGCTTTGAACCTTATGAAGTGATCACTGGGCCAAGAAGGCCTGCAGTGTAAAGAGAGCACCTCGGAGTGGGGACACCCTAACTCCTGCCCCTAGTGACTACAAGGTCAGGGATTAAGCCCCAGGAAACCTGGGCCCAGCCTTGTTGGGGTTTCAAGGGCTCTGCTACTCAGGAGAGTGGAGGGGGAGCCCTCAGGATCAGGGAGCCGTGGGGTAAAGGAAGTGGGAGCGGGGACTCAGATCCTTTCGCTGGTTCATTTCACCGGGGTGTATAGAAGCCAGGAAAGTTCCCCACAAGAGCGGGACCATTCCCCCGCTTACATAATCCCAAAGGGAGTAATGGAACATCTTAAGGAATGTTTTGGTACAAAGCATAAATGGGACAGGTTTCAAAGAGTCAATAACAGTTGGGCTACAGCAGCTCCCCAGGTAACCCTTGTAGCCTTCTCTTTATATGAATTGAATTAATGATTCTATATTAACCTACAACAAGCTCAGCTCCTGTTGCTACAGTTTCCAAATCAATAGGGTGAAAGTTACCCTTTACAATCCTCTTAGGAGCACATTAAGAATGAATACAGAGTCCATGAATACAGTTACACAAGTAAACAGTGATTATTATATCGTAAGTTATACAGGCCATCCTCACTATAAGTTCAAGATACATTCCAAAAAACTTGGACTTATAGCGAAACAACTTAAAGTGAAATAGTTATAGCGAAACAACTTAAAGTGGAGAATTCTAGATAAAGGGAGCACCGATTGTTGCGCACGAGAGTTTAACAACGGAGTAGAGGTCCTGTCAGGAGCGCGCCAGGACAACCCTGACCAGACGATGCTGACACTGACAGTTCAGACCACCTGAGGTACCGAGGTACGACACTGGTGACCCTGACCCAGGTTCAACACCCCCATCCCCACTCCCACACCACAGTCATTCCCTGGGATACCACACGATGAGCAAACCCACGGACTTTGGGCCCTCCAGGGATCTTTCGCTTGGGGACAAGAAGCCTTGTTGCAGAGCGAATGGGGAAGCCAAAACACCCCCTGAGGAAGAGTGAAAGAAAGAAAGAAAGAAAGAAAGAAAGAAAGAAGCAACCAGCTTAACAAAGGAAGCGATTGATTTCTGAGTGGTGATAGGAAGCCAAACGCACATAACAGTTACAATATTAAATCTAAATTGAAATTGATTACAAATGTTAGGGCTAGCTAACCATATAACAGTTTACATAGATCAGAGTCAGGAGGCTCTGCTTGGGTGCGGGGGGAGGGAGGCGAGGAAGAGGGAGAAAGAGATAGAGACCTAACCACTCTGTGGAGCTTGCATTGATTGGGGTTCCCAGATGGTGATGGTAGCTGGGGGTCCAGAGGCAGAAGACAAGCAGAGAGGGCAGGAGACAAGCAGAGCAGAGCCCCCAGCATGATCAGACAGGAGATGAAGACGTCTCAATGGAACTGATGCAGTTTTAAATCCAGGTATCAGGACAGTTTTTCTTGGGACAGGACAATAGTTGGAAGAGAAAGAGGCGAGACAATAGAGACTGATCACCCCTGGTTAAGGGGGATGTTCCTTGAATGAGCTCACGATGCCACGGGGCAGTGTCGGTATTTTGGACGGCAGTAGGATCGTTACTAGAATTGGTCTGATCATGACTAATTTGGGGGTGAGCAGGCCTGGGTTTGTTGGAGCAGATTTCCCATCAGGCACTGCTCTGCTCCCAGAGTTCAGTGCGGTTCCTGCCTTGGAAGAGCTGGTCTCTATTCTGCGTGCTAATGGAGAGGTCTCTCTGCTCCATCGTCCATGCAGAGGAGGCTGGGGTGTTTCCTTAATTCTATCACCCTTGTCTGGTGGAGTTTAGGTGGGTCTTCCCCGGCCTTTTCCTTGCTTTGCCTTTGGTTCATGCAGAGGCCTGGGAGGAGGGATGGTTTTCCCGGAAGGTCACTACCTGGCTCCCCAAGAACACAGAGCTGGTGGGTAACAGGGGGCAGGCCATGCCTGGACGTGCTCTCTGGGGGTCCCAGAGGCAGACGTTGAAGATGGGGAAAACTCTCAGGCACAGGATGGCCCAGATCAGAAGAGAATCTCATGACACTGTAAACTGTCCCTGAGCGAAATAGATCAACTGTGTCACCTGGCTATCAACGGCAAAGTGGACAGCTGGTCTAGTGGGCAGAGCATTGACAGAGTCAGAACTGCTGGGGTCTATCCTTGCTCTGGCAGGGGAGTGGGGACTAGGGGTCAGAGCAGGGGAGCTGGGAGTCAGGATTCGTGGGTTATTGCTCTGGAAGGAGAGTGGGGGCTAGTGGCTCAAAACGGGAGGGCTGGGACCACAATCCTGGTTGATATGTGAGCAGCACCTGGCATGGGCAGGGTCACCCTCATTCACCTGCCTCCGGAGCGGAGCTCTAGTTTGGCCCCACGACCCACTGGCCGCTAGGACTGGGCTGTGCCCTGCGGGGAGAGAGGCACTTTGCATGTGGACCAAATCCCCACTGAAAGTCTCATGTTGTCTCAGCCCTCCCTGTGCTCCCCATGGGGCTCGGCTCCTGCCCCACTTCACAGCCCAACCACATCCCTCTGGGCAGGAAGCTGTGGCCAGCACAGACACCTCCCGGGGTGTGAGGAGCTAGACAGGCTGCAGGTGAAACCCCGGTGAGACAAACCCTTCACGTAAACATTGAGGCTAGCCCTGCCAACCAGGGGAGAGCAGACTCCAAAGCCGAGGTCCCACAGCCACCTCAGAGCCTTCCTGCTGCCCATCAGGGGACTGGACTCACTCCTGCACCCCACTGCTGGTAGGACCCTGTGCCCTGCACCTCCATCTCCTTGCCAGTGGTCACTCCCCTCTTCTTGCACTCTCATCATTCTGTGCAGTGGTGCCCCCACTTCGTGCATCCTGTTACCCCGCCAGGCTGCCCCCATAGTTTGCGCTTTCCTGTTCCCCTGTGAAGCTCACAGACAGAGAAGAGCCCCAGAACCCCATAGTAAGCAGAGCCCTCAGGAGTCCATCCTCTATGCAAAGCAGGATCCCCCACCCCCACATCCCAGCCAGGCTGGGACTGAAACACCTCTAGGGATGGAGATTCTTCCTGCCCCCCCCCCGGGAACCCAGCCCAGGGCTTCCCCACTGGCCTAGAGAAAGAGTCTGTCCTAATCTCTTCGGCAAGAATCCGCAGAGCGTCCACACTGCCCGCCCGCTCTTGCGCAAGATTTACATTACGGCGCGGTAAGAGAGGGCTTCTTGTGCAAGAGCTACGCTCTTTTTTAACAGGTGGAAGCTCTCTTGCACAAGAGGGCTGTGTGGACACTGGGCTGGGATTCCTTGTGCAATAAACCACTATGGCTAAAACGGCCATCGGCGCTTTCTTGCACAAAAGAGCGCCCACATGGCCACGGATGCTCTTGTGAAAAAGCACAGCTCGCACATGGCAGTGTGGACATGTTCTTGCACAAGACTTCTTGCACAAGAACCCTTGCGCAAGAGGTTCTTGTGCAAGAAACCACCAGTGTACACATAGCCACAGAGAAGAGGCACAGAACCCGAGCGCTGAAAGAGCCCTCAGGAGGCATCAAGTCCAGCACCTGCCCAAAGCGGGACCTGCCCGACTCAAACATCCCAGCCGGGGCTTGGTCAGGCTGGGACTTAAATTCCCCTCAGGACAGAGATTCC